AATGCTAATATAGATATAAAATCGATATTCTTTTGAAAATAGCCTACTATGATCAAAACCAAAAGTGCTTAAAATTGCATTTTAAAACATATCTAGGTATTATAGAATATTATTTCATATTATGAAAATAGCCTACTATGATCAAAACCAAAAATGCTTTAAATTGCATTTTAAAACATATCTAGGTATTATAAATGATGAAGAATGCTAATATAGATATAAAATCGATATTCTTTTGAAAATAGCCTACTATGATCAAAACCAAAAGTGCTTAAAATTGCATTTTAAAACATATCTAGGTATTATAAATGATAAAGAATGCTAATATAGATATAAAATCGATATTCTCTTGAAAATAGCCTCCTATGATCAAAACCAAAAGTGCTTAAAATTGCATTTTAAAACATATCTAGGTATTATAAATGATAAAAAATGCTAATATAAATATAAAATCGATTTTCTTTTAAAAATAGCCTACTATGATCAAAACCAAAAATGCTTTAAATTGCATTTTAAAACATATCTAGGTATTATAAATGATAAAAAAATGCTAATATAGATATAAAATCGATATTTTTTTGAAAATCGCCTACTATGATCAAGACCAAAAATGGTTTAAATTGCATTTTAAAACATATCTAGGTATTATAAATGATAAAGAATGCTAATATAGATATAAAATCGATATTCTTTTGAAAATAGCCTACTATGAACAAAACCAAAAATGCATTAAATTGCATTTTAAAACACATCTAGGTATTTTAAATGATAAAGAATGCTAATATAGATATAAAATCGATATTCTTTTGAAAATAGCCTCCTATGAACAAAACCAAAAATGCTTTAAATTGCATTTTAAAACATATCTAGGTTTTATAAATGATAAAGAATGCTAATATAGATATAAAATCGATATTTCTTTGAAAATAGCCTACTATGATTGAAACCAAAAAAGGTTTAAATTGCATTTTGAAACATATCTAGGTATTATAAATGATAAAGAATGCTAATATAGATATAAAATCGATATTCTTTTGAAAATAGCCTACTATGATCAAAACCAAAAAAGGTTTAAATTGCATTTTGAAACATATCTAGGTATTATAAATGATAAAGAATGCTAATATAGATATAAAATCGATATTCTTTTGAAAATAGCCTACTATGAACAAAACCAAAAATGCTTTAAATTGCATTTTAAAGCACATCTAGGTATTATTAATGATAAAGAATGCTAATATAGATATAAAATCGATATTCTTTTGAAAATAGCCTACTATGATCAAAACCAAAAATGCTTTAAATTGCATTTTAAAACATATCTAGGTATTATAAATGATAAAGAATGCTAACTTTGATATAAAATCGATATTCTTTTGAAAATAGCCTCCTATGATCAAAACCAAAAATGCTTTAAATTGCATTTTAAAACATATCTAGGTATTATAAATGATAAAGAATGCTAATATAGATATAAAATCGATATTCTTTTGAAAATAGCCTACTATGATCAAAACCAAAAATGCTTTAAATTGCATTTTAAAACATATCTAGGTATTATAAATGATAAAGAATGCTAATATAGATATGAAATCGATATTCTTTTGAAAATAGCCTACTATGATCAAAACCAAAAATTATTAAAATTGCATTTTAAAACATAACTAGGTATTGGAAGCCACCTTCACTATGTGGAAAGTAAATGGAGGGTTATTTTTTCATACTTTATATGAATTTATAAAAGACAAAGATCAGATCTAACGGTGAGGGATTGAATATCCCCATATTGCTTCATTACAAGCTTTAAAAAAGCAAATTAGGATAATTTTTGTGATTTTGTATGAAATTACATACTTCACAACCGCTCGCAGAAAACACTATTATATGGGTTCGTTTAATTTGTATGAAAAATTTTAGTAATTTCATTTTTCTAACGCGTGTGATCGATACTCTGAAATTTCTGAGGTTGCGACTTAATTAAATTAAGTTGTTAATTTTTCAATGGTTTTAGTGTACTTTAATAAAGTCCGAATTTCATAAAATATTTTGCGGTAACTAAGTTTTGGATACGAAATGTGATCTGGACAGCAATCATGAATAATTTCTAAATTAGAGGAACAGGAACAGCACAAAGTTTTAATTGACAGATTTTTTCATGCTCTTTGTTAAAAAAAAGAAAGCTTTTGCTTCTTAGTAATCACACTTGAGACGGAAGTGAAAAATGTTCGTTATTAAAACATTATTACGTGTTTGATATTAAGTTTCATGAAGACAGAACATCGGAATATTAATATGTGAATGTGATTTCCTTCTTTCTAATTTAGTGCCAAAGTACCTTCACATTAACATTCCCAATCTAATTTTATGAATATTTTTCTTTTTCTCATTCCTACAGTAATGTTTATAGGATGAACAGAAATATATTTTTTCATAGTAACTTACAAAGTGAATAAATTCAAGACACACTGCGAACGAAAGGAATCAGAAATCAATTGATTGCTTACATGTTTGTACGAAAGTCCTATGCGATATAATGTAAAGAATGAATAACAATTTTTCTTCCTATTTTGATATTGATTGAATAGCTTAAGCATAAATTCTTTCACACTTCACGTTTTATTTTTCTTCTTCTTTTTTTTTGTGCAACACTAAGTAAACTCTTTGAATTAAAGCAAATAAGCTTTTTGCTTGCTCACAGCAACTTCGATTGGGTTGAAATAGTTCCTAATCCATGCTCTATATTGTGTATGATAGAACGAACAGCATGGTCAAAATCTATAGATTTTCATAACATAAACAATGTGATATCAATTAAACACGCAAATGCCATTATTGTTACTTCGATTTTACAATACTTACAATACTTTCCATACAAGTATTGTAGTATTGCACAATACCTACAATACTTACAATACTTGCCATATAAGTATTGTAAGTATTGTACAATACTTACAATACTTTTCATATAAATTTACAATACTTTACAATACTTACAATACTGAAATTTAGTTATTTAAGATCCAAATTTTAAAAGAAATTACATATTTTTTTGTTTTCAACAATTTGTAAAACCAAATTTAGTAATTTTTTTTTGACAAATATTGATAAATAACAATTTTTTTTGATAAATTAACATTATTATTGAAAGTTAGCAGGGATATTTTATGAAAAACTAGCACAAATTTCAGTTTTCCAATAAAAGAGAGAATTTCTGATTATGTAATGGCTATAAAAATGATAAAAAGTTCAAAATTCTTTTGTAAAGCTAGACTGGTGCAAATCAAGAATTGATTTCATACAATTCTCATGCATAAAACTGTACAGGTACGAAGTTTATTATGTAAACTAATGTCAATAAGGAATCAAAATTAAATAGATTGGTTTCATTTTCACAAGATTTATCACTTTTTATAGCAAACTGCATTACGTTTTATACAAATTTTTTGATCAAAGTATAAGGTTTTAAGTGTATTCAAACATTACTTTGAAGATTTGAATTTTTTTACCTTTGACAAGAAGGCGATTAAGAAAGAATCAAGGGTGTGGAACTGAAGAAAACCATTTGATCATTTTTGATCATTTCTTCAGTACCACACCCTTGGAAAGAATCAAATTTAACAAACTTATCAAATAGTTTTTTATAGCATTTTTTTTTTTTTGAAAATACATATTGTCAACAACTGCATCTCTAAGACAATATAAAACTGTATATTTTCTTCTTTCTTTGTCAAAATTATTCTTATTTTTTTTATTTCTTATAGTTGATACTAGACTTTCACGATTTCCTGTTCCTGAAATTTTTGGGACAGAAACTCGATGAATAAAAATAGTTATCCAAAAAATTTTAATGTCAAATTATCTCAATTGAAAAGTTTCATCATTTAAACACAAAAAAATCTTCCAAATTTTCAGGAGCATGTTTGATATTTGAGTTTAAATTTTTGTCCAGTTCCCGACAATTTTTTGGGTCCGGGAAATCGTGAATGCCTAGTTAATACAAAAAGATATATCATTTTAGGAAAATTCACTGAAAATTTCTGATGAAAAATGTCCTTACTAAAAACAAAGTAAACTTTAAAGAAACAAACTTAAATCGAGACATATCAATGTTATGATTTGGTTATGATATGACTTAAAGCGCTATAAAAAAACTAAACCTCGGTGTAACCTCTATAAAATTGAAGCAAACGTTAAAGTTCCTCTAATATGAGGAGACTAATGTCTAATATTCTCATCTTATCTATGTTTTCGTTAATAATGTTTGATATTTTTGGCTGCATCTGGCGTTATATCGCCTTTGTTTCGAGCCAGAATACTTTTTTGCTATTGACAATTTTGATAAATGACTTTATTACCAAAAATTTTGTATACAAATATTTTTACAATATTTGTAAATGTTTTAGACTGAATATTTTTGGAGAACTATAAAATTTCAATTAATACTTAAAAATATCTAGTTCAAAATTGCTAATTATGTATTTTTATCAAATTTTGGTTCAAAGAATGTGAAGAAACACGAGAAATTACACAAAAACCGTAAATAATAATCAAATTCATATGACAAATGTTTCTCAAACTGTCTTGCAAAAACTACAATACTTACAATACTTTCCATACAAGTATTGTAAGAATTGTAAGTATTGTACAATCCTACAATACTTGTCATACAAGTATTGTAAGTATTGTAGGTATTGTACAATACTTACAATACTTTTGGAGTGTCTGACCCTTCGAAGAAACAACAAAAAGTCGTCACACTTATAGGGAACAGAAATTCGAAAGAATTTAAAAGATTTTTTTTAAATCGCATTTGATAACGTTTTCCTTTTTATGTGTTTATTATCCTCATATGAAAACCTTTCCCGTTTCATGATCCCAAGCTACTTTGCCTTTATTTTTAAACTGTCATTCTGGTCATGTTGACAATAAATTCTCAATACAGTTTCAAATACAATAAATCTATCATTAAACTTTACATACATTGTTAGAATCAATGTGTTGAAATTATTCTTCTTGAGAAAGGTGTAATTGATCAGCAACAGCCAATAAATTCTTCCATTCCAGTGCATTTAAAGTTATTCCTTTCTTTCCAGGCTTCATTTCTCCACTTTTCTTATCTTCATAATATTCACGAATATTAATGTATCGTTTTCCTTTGAATGACGATAAAGAAATCCGGCGATCTCTTCCAAGTGAATAATATTCATTTCCTTCATCGTCAGTTTCTTTTTCTGGTATATTTATTTTGGACTTAACTTCTGGCGATTTTTCACTTTTCAACTTTTTTGGCTATTGTTTTTATGAATTTAATCAAATCATGTGAATTACAGCAATATTTTATATACTTACTTTAAAATCCTCTTCTTCGGAGCTTGATAAGTCGTTTTCTCGCTTTTGAGCACGCTTTTTCGACATGATTACTATCAAATTAATCAATTTAATTAAAATGTTCGAATTTCTTTGCTGTCACAGTCTTCTTCACATATCAATAATGCGGATAATAATTTCAAATTTTGGATAACCGTTATAAAATTCGTGATAAATTTAATTTGATTTTATTGCACTAGCTTGCTGGTAATTCCGAAACAGAATGCTGGAAGCATAATATAAAAGTTGTTATTCACACCCTATTTTTTATATCATCGATTTATCTAAATTGCATTATGAGAAGTGTAAAATTTTGAAAAAATACCAAGTGCCTCATAATTTATTCCTTGCATTTCCTATTTTCATCTCGTTTTCCTCCTTATACACTTGTTTTCTTGACTTCCTATTAAGTATTTCTGGTGCTTAAATGTAGAAATAAAAGAGGGTTAACTGAATGAATAGTGGCATTTGTATTGCGCATATGTTTACTTCCAATTTGATAAAATTCCTTTATATCTATGACATTTATTTCCGACTTCATGATTTTGCAAATAATAAAGGGAAGTCATATCTAAAGGCATTTGAAACGAATTATATTTACTTCAAACTACTTTAGGGAACAATTTCAAAATTCGTTTAATAAAGTTGGTTAAGAAAAAATACAATTCATGTTGATAGTAAGCAGATAAACATACATGCTCACGTGTCGAGTGGACGAATAAAACACAAATAATTGTATCGTGAATTTATATTTTTGTATTGAAACAATTACGATTCAATTTTTCTAAAAGTAAAACAATTTTTTTAAATGAATAAAAAAGGTGGTAGGAAAAGCAATTAAAAATATTACTTCGTGAAAGATCACGTCCACCCAACTTGAACACATAAAAAGAAAAGAACGATAAGAAGCCCAAAACGGGCCAACAAACTTTATCTAAAGTAGAAAATTTGAAAAATGAAACGCTGTTAATCTCTAAGCAACACTCACGTAAATTGCCAGCGGTTTTTTGTGGGGTTGAAAAACATTTTAATTGAGTAGAGAGGTTTAATGTTTTGGATTGTGCAAATAGTTCACTTCATTAACACATGTGCTCGAGACTTTATTCTGATTCATTTACACAATTTTCTGTTCCGATGGACTTTCATTTATGCACGAATAATTACATCAAAATGATAATCTACAAATCGATGGAAATGATAAAAACAAATCATCTGCCAATATGTCAACCTTTATTTATTTAAGTATCTAGTCGATAAAACTAATTTGAAGGAACAATCAATTCATGAAAAATCTATTGAACTTAAGACAAAGGAAGAATAGTTATTATAAATCCAATGATCAATGAACGTGTCTGGTCAATCTATAAAGACTTCCAAAATTCCTTTGTAAATCACATACATAGAAGCGCATGGGAAAAATCGATGTCATAATGAATAGCCTCAAGGAATTTACTACACAAAATTTGGCTTTTTTATGCAAATAATAGAAGGAAAGAAATTTGTAATTTCCTTTTAGCAAGTAAGAATAAGCGAACAAGTTTGAGTTCATGATAATTTGAATGAAAGCAGCAGAATGAGTAATCGAAAGGCAATAGGGAATCGTGAGACAGGAATTGAAGTGAAAACCCAAAATAAATAATGCAAAAAATTTTAGAATAGCAAATGGGTGTGTACGATAGCTCTTAAGCATGAATTCCAATTTTCTCTAATCTAATTACTTCCATTCATTTTCCTTTTTTAATAAAATGCTTTTAATATTTACGATATTTTATTTGCTTGTAAAACAACATTCCGGAATAATTTCAAGATATTTCAATCAAACTTTATACATTAATAATAACAACTACATCCATTCAAGAACAAAAGTCATTAACCGAAAAAGAACAGCAATAGTAGAGCAACACTAAAGTGTAAACTGTTTAATCGATAATATTCCTGAACTATTTTTAAAATTTAGTCAATTTTATGTTTAATGTTTTTCTCACAGGCATGCACAAGGCATACAATCTCATTAGTTTACTCTTATTTTTGTGTCGATTGCATTTTTTTCATTTCACGTTTATAACAAGACGACTATAGAGCTACAGGAGCACGAAGTATCAATTTGTTTTAAATTTAATTTTAAAAAGAAAAAATGAAAATTGCCCCCGAATATTCTCTTAATTCGATAAACAAATCGTAAGCAGATGCTTAACATTCAAAAGAAAATCAATCAACACACAACTTCTTTTACTTTTGGACTAAATTTTTATAAGCCAGTAGTAACATTCTGATGTGAAGAATTATCTTGTATTAAGCATGAGAATGGAAGCATTATGATAATGATTATTTTTATTTTGAATAGCAAATAAACAGGGAGATATAAAGATCTTGAGACATATGACAACAATTTTAGAAAAGAAAATCAATTCAATTTTTGGTCGTGAAAGAGTTGAACATCTGGTAACATGCATATTTTGGATGAGAAAATTTCTTACTTGATTTCACTCTTGGCGACAATTTTTCATTATTTGTTTTCTTATTTGTCAAGCATCTTATTCACACTGAAATAGAATCTTCTAAAAATTTACTCATGATAGATTCTTTTCTTTTCCAAATTTTCATCTGATCCTTTATACCGCCATATGGTTCGCGTTGAATAATTAATCTTGTCGGCATATCCTTTTGTCTACTGCAAAAAAAATAAAGCTTGAAAAACCAACAATCTAGAATCATTTTATGAAATTCATCATGAACATTGCGATTAAATACTTCTTAATTAATGACCCATCAACATCATACAAAAAGTACACGAAGAACAGAATATTTTACATTTTAACATTTACAAAATGAGTACTTATCTTAATCATATTTTTTAAGCCATTTAAATTGATTGTCATCAATTGAAATATTCTTTTAATCTATAAAAGATAAAATATAATAGAAGAGTAAGTCAAAATTTGGTATGTGTAAAATGCTAAGTCAGCATGTCGAGATTTCTTAAGAACGCAATTATTTGGAAGAGCATCGATCAATCAACAATTGGATTTTAAGGCATTCATCAGTTTTTAATATTTTTTATTATAACTTACCAATATTGTTGACATTGGACAGCTCATGAAAGATTTAAAAAGGAAATTCTGACATGCCATGAAGAGCAAATAGCGGAACAAATAAGAGAAATGTTCTCGTTCGTTAAAAATTCTCTTAAAATCTCATTTTTTTTCTCTCGCTCTCTTTTTATTGTAAATAAGTTTTCTTTTTAACGAAACATGTGCTTCCTTTATACCCGCAATGTACAGAATACATAAAAATGTTTTTGATTTTTTCTCAGTACTCCTCCGGCATTTGAACGTGCAGCATGAAAATAATTTGTAAGCAAATACCAATAAAAAGTGAATAAAAATTTATTTTGTGAAGAAGAAAGGAAACAAGTGATGCGTTTAGAATAAAAATGAAGGTTCTTTTGCTTTTAGAAAGCACTAAATAATACAAGATTATAAAGAACTGTGAATATACATGCAGAGTGATATAGAAAAATATTATGTTAAACAAAATTTATACTGTTCGAATATGATGCATTAAATGATAGTGAATACAGCAAGGAACAAATAATAATAATGAGATATGTGCTTAATGTAAACATATAATATTGAATGATTATGCAATTTGAGTTAATTGCATGAAGGACTTTACTATAGTGTACGATTAATATGCAAATAAATTAACATAATAATTAAATACGCAAAAAGTTCATTTCAATTGACGTGAATAGAATCAGAATAGTAGAAAGAAAAAAACTTTCTCAACATATTCGTGTGCTAATGTAAAAAGGATTACATTTTTGAAAAAAGGATCCATTACGGATTTCCTACTAAAGGATTAGAATTTCATCACTCTACAACATCTCAAGAGAAATTTTGATTGAGTGCTCCAAGTGCCATACATAACATTTGAATACCTTTCTATACATATACCTTAAAAAATTCCTAAAAGGATTAATTCATCAAAAAAGAACTTTAATAAAAAAAAGTAAGTTCTTTCATATTACATTAAGGGTTTACGTTTAGATAAAAAAAAATCTATTTTATTACTATAACAATGGTAAACTAAAAATGTCAACGAAATTGTTAAACTTTAAAATTGCATTTTTGATGAAATTTTTTTTAAATACATAATTAGTTGAAATGATAAGTTTAAAACAATTTAACAATTTAGTCGTTATAAATATTTTAATCATGTCATTGTTATAAATTTTATACACAGTCACAATACATTGTAAATTTTTTATGAGTGTAATAAATTAATGGGAAGCAGAAGTCAAAATTAATTCTCATCAATTCATATTAATCAAAAATATGATATTTAAATATGGTAGACCAATGTGAAACTTTTCGTCTAATTTTTTTATTTCTTTTACAATATCTCTTTTTTAAAGGTTTGAAGCGAAGTTATACTTCACAGAACATTAAAAAATTTTGCTTTCAATTTACTAAAGAAGTTAAACTTTTACGCTTTGAACGGAAAATTCAATTTCTTTGCTTTAATTTATGGCATTTAAATTCAATCGTATGAAAGCGCGCATGAAAATATTTTTATTACTGTCGGGCAGACTATTGTAATCAAAATATTTTTTCTGCAAATCATCACTTTATATATTTTCTTGAGTTATAACAAGGTTATAATTAATATTATTAGCAGTTTATGTTGAATTCAAATTGTTACGTTTTTACACCACAAATACCTTATAATTTATAATTATTTATTCGTTTTCTTTGACATATTTCTATTCTTAACATTTTATGTGTGAGCATGCCACTTGGCTCAAAAAATAATAAGCTACAGAATGAAAATTAATTTCACTGACAAAGAGTAAGAATTTTTCAATAATAAAATGAACCAATAATATTGGCATTCGCGATTTCTTGATCCCGCAAAATTATCGAAAACGGAAGAAAAAATTAAACTTAAAAATTAAGCATTTTTCTGGAAATTTTTAAGATTTTTTGTGTTTAAATGATGACATTTCAATTAAGATAATTGGATATTAAAATTTTTAAATCATTATTTATATTCATCTTTAAAATTTAATTTCTGTCCAGAAAGCATTTGCGTTCTTTCTATTTCAAAATTTGTGTATCCAACACATGATTATATTTTGATGTTAAATTTGTTAATATTACGTGACGTGAATAGTTTTCAATGTGTCTTTTTAATGTTTTTCATGAAGAAAATGTTTTTACTTCATAGCAAAATTTTATAAATTAAATATAGATTATAAGGGATATTCATGGTATGGTGAAATATTTCATATCATAAATACCAATATTCTGCCTAAAGACAACTTTTCCTTTTTATCTTCTTTAAAAACAGTCCCAAATATTCAATATCTGTAACAATAATGGATTTTTCGATCCAAAGAAACGGACAGCATTCGACAGAACAGAGAAACTTTCAAATGGGTTCAACTTAGTGGTTAAAGAATTTCTTATAAAACTGCTTCAAGTTATGCTAAAACTTTTACATTTTGGCAAGTCCATGTATACTAAATCTTTTATTTTTTAAATAATTATGCTGAAATTTTTTATATTCTATACTGTATTGTGAAGTTACAACTTTTGCTGTATCTTCCTGTTAATTTGTTTAGGGTTTAAAAGCATGCTGTATTTTACATAATATAGCAATCAATTATTAAAAGTTGGTGAGAGAGAAAAAGAAAATTATGTTATTTAATAAAAGAAAAGTTTTTCCATAAAATATAACGTGATTTTCAGAGGAAATTGAATTTTTATGAGGAGATACTTGAGAGTTTCACTTTTAAAAAAATATTTTCAAGATTTTGTTTTTTTCTTTTGTAAACTCAATCCCCCACTCAAGTTGTTATCATTTTTTAAGGCTAAAATATTAAATAAACATGAGAACCGCAAATGCTTCACATATATAAAAATAATTTAAACGCGTAAATTAATTGCAAATTAAACTTTTTTAAAAAAAATAAATTAAAGAAAATGAAAGAATTTGTTTTATTTCGTGTTTTTAATGGCACAACAATTAGATGCCTATCTCAAATGTCTTTTGATGTTTCATTCATAAATGTCGAAAATATTTCATCGCACTTTATGAACAGAAACATATGTTTGATGTTTAAAGAACAAGCAACAAAATATTTATGAGGATTTAACAAGATTTCTTTGGAAAATTTTTGTTTTTTTATTACACATGTTGTCAACATTTTCTCCTTGATTCTTCTTTATATGCTTCATTCATTGGTCGAATAAATGAACAATTTGAGGAAAATAAAGTTAAATTGAATTAAAAATGAACATTTCCTCTCATTCGTTAGCAACGAAATTTATCACTTCATGTGTTAATTAAATAAATCACGTTTCCCCAACCGCGATGTGTGGCATAATTTAAATATTGAAGAGGAACGACAAATTTTAAGCATTTTCTTACATTTTTTTATTCACATTTAAGAATATAATTATGGTCGTCAGCAATCTGTCAAAATATATTTTTTTTCGTACGGTGTGTGTCCACTCAGAACAGCCCTTAATTTTAAGTAACTTGAATTATTTGTATTAGATATACGAAGTCATATCATGATGTAGATTCTTCTAAATTTTGTGAATACTGAGTTAATATAATCTACAAAAATTAATATTAACTTTTTTTTGTCGTTCTTGGAAGAAACTTTAACTAGTCATAAACATTATTAAAGAATGACAGATTATTCACCAACAAAAATTTTTGGTTTTCAAAAAGAAATCTAATAATGAATAAATTATCTTCGCATTGGTATGCATGTATCGACACACTTAAAAACATTTATTCATTTTCAATGTTTTCATTTCTTCAAAATTAATCCATGAATCCTATTTAAAGAAATAAGAAAATTTGATTAAATACCTCTGAGCAACTTTTTTTTTTAATATTTTAATCACGCATAAATTTTCCTAAGCACGTTTTCAGAAATCTCTTTCCTTTATCCAGCCTTACCAATACAAAAAAGTTATACAGAGCACTTGTGTGAAATATAATTTCCAGAAGATAACAAATTATCACGGCTGCAGCAACAGGCAACATGAAAAAATGGAATAAACTTCCTCCAAATTTTTGTTCTATATTATTTATTGTATCTTTTATAAAAAGACTACAAAATGAAAAACTTTTGCTATACATATGAATTTTTAATAAAATGAGAAAGAGCTCAAGTTTCTTGTTACAGTGTCGACAGTAAATCATACAAGTCTAGAATGTCAAAAACTCATAAAAATTTTTTTATCTCTTCTTATTCCATTAAAGCAAAATTAATTACAGAAATTCATATTTTCCTCTCTTCATAATTTTATAAATATTATTGCGTGCGTTTATATGTGAGCATGAAATTTACAATTCTGTTCCCATTTTTCATATTAAATGAATTTTATTTTCCTCGAGATAGAATCTATCTACACCTGCTGTCATTAAATTCTCATTGAAAAAAGATGCTTTTACTTCTGTCTACGTTTAGACTTCTTTTCTGAATTCGAAAAAATTCCATAATAATCAAAATTCAAGAATTTTATTAAATTTAATTTCCAATTTTTTGGATTTATTGTGTCTACATACATATATGAATTTTAAGGAATTAAATTATGACAATCAAAATTGCAGAGGAGTGACGGTAAATATTCCTCCAGTAAAATTTACAATATTGTGAAAATATTATTTTTGAGTTTACAAAAACAATAATAAAAGCATGTAGGAAGGAAAAACAATTTTCATTGTGTTCAAAATTTTGTTTTCAAACTCCTAAAAAGAAAAAAAAGCAATCACGCATAAATAAACTTTTGATAATTTAATAAAAATCGTGTTCCAACCAATTACTATGTAGTGTCTAATGCCAAAGAAAATGATTATTATGTTCATGCATGGTGTTATCATGTGAATAGAGAAAATTGAGACATAAATTGCTACCAAAAAAGTAAAAACTAGGGAAACAAGGGAAACCATTTACACAGAAAGGCATTTTAGGACTTGAAAAAGCTAAATCAATTTTTTTCTTTCTCCATTCCTTTAGTCAATTACTTTACGTGCTCAAATAAAGAAGAAACAAACATAAATCATCCATCCATCAGACATTTGAGTAAAGTGGAAGTCTATAAAAGAAATCTTCTAGGAAATTTGCAGAGCAGCAATTTGTAAAAGACCATCACAGTCATGACAACCATTATGGTTAAGATGTTGATCCTACAAAAAGTATGATAGAAGAATGAGATAAAAAAATAATTGAAATAATGAGTAACAGGATTAAAAGTGTGTGATGCAACATGACATTTAAGTGCTTTATAACCAAGCATCAACAAGCTCTGTTGGTGATTATGTTCTTCACTATGAGCTTTGCGGGAGTAGAGCCTCATCGAGGTGATTACAAACTTCTTCCTTATTCATTTTTTTGCAATCGTTCGATTTTGGTTTATTGAAGTTCATTTGTTGATCTTATTTTTTTCATTTATTACTTTTTACAATCTTCAAGATGGCTTAAAACACCAGCATAATAATAACAACAATCATCATAAATCTCATGACTTACTTACCTCTCCTGAATCTTATAATAATGACGCAATTGGCGGTGCTGTTTTATTTTTTTCAAATAACAATTTTGAAACTATAAATAATACACATGTTACAGCTCAAATTGGTGGAACAGCGATTCTTCCATGCATTGTTGATTCCTCCTCACCTGCAACAGTTACCTGGATAAGAAGAAGTGATTACCAACTCCTAACAGGTTGTTTTGGTTAAAATGAACGATAATTTACGATTATTAACATGAGAAATCTCTATCTCTCATCTTTTTTCGTTTCCTCATTCTAACTTTTACAGTCGGATTAACAACATATAGTAGCGACGAACGATTTCACGTAGAACATACGAGACATCGAGGTGTTTGGGATTTAAGAATAAAGTCAGTAAAGAAGGATGATGAAGGCGTCTATGAATGCAATTTATCACTTCATCCGCCTGAATCGATATTTGTATCTGTTTCAGTTGTGGGTAAGTAATGATTCTTAAATTGGGGTTTATGGGTTTTGATTTTACGAAATTTATGTTCGTTTTTTATCGCATAGACAAATTATTTTCGACAATAAATTTATATTTGTTTAGAAATTATACAAAAAAAATTTCTTACTGTTTTACGAGTTTTAGTATAAAATTTTCATTGTAGTTCAGAACTTAAGAGATAGTTGTAATGCACTAATCTTTTTTGATTAAGTGTTATCAAATAAGAAAAGCACTGATTATGTTCATTTTTATTAAAAAAATGTTCTATTTTTACCAAAAGTTTTGCTCAATTTATCAAAGATTTTCTCCTTGCTTAGACGTAGAGGTTTTACCGTTGTTTTTTTTTCGATGCTTTGTGGGAGGAAAAGAAAATATTTTGGTAATTTATTATCATTATTTGATCAATATTTCCCACGCCTATAATTTGCTTTACGATACTTGTTTTTGGATAATGGAATGAGAATTCAGTGTTATAGGAGGTCAATTAAGCTATTCCATTATAATCATTTGGCATTATATTTTACTATGCTTTCAGAAGCAATAGCTGAGATTACGGGAGCACCCGATGTACATATTGATGAGGGATCAACGTTAAGGTTAGAATGTAAAATTATGCAAGTGACTGAAAATCCATCTTATGTGTTCTGGTAAGTTAGATTTATAGTATAATAATTTATTAAGATCATTTAATGTGTCATTTTTTTTGACAGGTATCATGAAGACAAGATGGTTAATTTTAATTTTCAAGATGGATATTCTGTACTAACGTTTCCAAAAGGTTCAATGTTTCATTACATATACGACGATGATGTAAACGCAGATAAAATTTTACCATTTCCAACGAATGTAGATAGCAATAATTTAATAGAAGCTCAAGGATTAAGTGGAAGTGTCAGCAGAAATAATGATGGAGTGCTTTCATCGGCTAGTAGTATATTATTGGTGCACGAAGTCCAATTTAAACATGCAGGAAATTATAGTTGTACTCCTTCAAACACTCGTCCCACAAGCATCATTGTCCATGTGCTCAAAGGTACTTGTTATTTAACTGTATAAAATTTATCATACTAAACAGACTTGTTAGTCATTTCATAAAGTTCTAAATTTTATGCACCTTTTTACTTTTATTTCTACAATTGTGGACAAATTTAACGAAGTTAATTTCCATATGTGGGCAATATTAATTCAATGCAAAGGTGTTTTGTGTGGAATAAAATGGTTTTAATAATATCAGTTTATAAATGACACCTCTTGTGAAAACTTAATTCATGCTGGTTCCAATTTCAATCCCAAACTGATAATTTTCAGAGTCACATTAGTATTTGAATAATTGAAAAGGAAATAAATATTCAAATTCTAAAATAAATTCATCAATATGCAGCTAAAACTGTATCATGCATCTAATTCAATAGTAAATTATAATTAAATTCAATTCAAGAATTCAATTTAAATTGTGACTTTGGATGACATTTAAATTTTTTTTTGAAAATATTATTATTATTATTTTATTATTAGTATTATAGGTTTTACTGGTCACAAAGGAAAAAACCCCCTTAAATATTACTTAAATTATTTAAAATATTAGAATAATTCCTGATTTGATTATCAGCATATTCAATATCATTGACAGCCGCTATATGTATGTTAACAAAAAAATCTTTACTGTAGAATCAAGATCTATTAAATAATCATTATTCATAATCAAGGAGCGAACAGTAATGGCTGTTTCAAAACTTTTGATTTTCAGATTGTATAGAAAAACGTCTTTAATGGATATTTAATACAATCAAGTAAAACACAGAATGTTCGATACCTTAAAAATATAATAATATAAAACTTAACAAAATTTAAATTAAAGGAAAAATATGAATGATATTAAAATGTTTTTATCACCGGAGAATATCTTTTTGAAACATTTAATGTACCATAAATTATTACATTTTCTCCTCATTTTTCTTCTTTATTCAGCGATTTCGTCGTGTTTCAATACACACCTTGCCGCACAATTCATGAAAATTTTACCCGAATTTGGCTTTTTTATGACAGTGACTAACATGAAAATTCTTTTATTTTATTTTTTTTTTTATTTTTCTCGTTTTGTTTAATGCCCAAATTGAATATTACGCAATTTTATTTCATTTTATTCTCATTCTCATCCAGGTGATAAGCCAGCAGCAATGAAGCATTCAAACCAGAGTACAATAGTCGATACAAAGTCGTCTGCTCATTCATTAATGCATAATTTATTATTATTGTACAGTAGCTTATGGTTGATAGCCATTGTTTATTTAAACAGAAGCCCTTCTGGCAGGTAAATGGATAAAATTATAGATCGTAAACATATATATTGGAAATACTTTTTGGTATTTAGGCAACAACAAGTATATTGCAATCAATTTAAATTCTAGTGTGAAAAAATTTACATTAGATTAATAATATTGATGCTTGCGAAAGTTCCATAAAAGTATAAAATTTCAAAGCCCCAAATATTTGAAATGGAATTTGTTTATTTTTAAAACTTGTTTCATACTTAACCATTAGTCATCTTTAATTTAATATTAATTCGTCAGATCGAATTCAGATATCGAATAGAATTTTAAAGTTTTATTATTCATATTTAAATCAACAACAATTCAGTACCAAAGTTTTTTCATGATTTTTTAGGTATTTTATAAAACAAAACGTATTTGACCTCCTTTTCATCAATTTTTAAAGAGAAAAATCCATTAAAAGTTCTTTAAGTGCTAATAATTAAAATTAAATAAATGAGAGGAATGTACGTAATAAATATAATAAGAACTAAATAGCAGAAAGAACCTTAAACTTTTAAAGTTAAAAAAAAATATTTCGTTCAAAAAATGTAAATTAATAAATTAATTATAAAAACGATTGTGTAAATACCTGAAGTAAATAAAAAATAATAGTAATAAAAAACATTAAAAATATTTATCTACACAAAAAATGTTTGTTTTATTAACATTTTGCCTCCTATCCACTTTCAGCTTCAAATCCAACAGCTTCTGTTGAATTGTAGACATTATTAATAAGATCTGCAAATATTAATAGTTTGGATCATATCATCATTTATGGGACGTCAAGTTTTGATTACATTTTGTCTTAAAAGATTTATGTCCGAAACATTGTGCAATTACAGATGAAAAATGAGACAGTGTCAAAAGTATGATTCTTCATGCATGATTAAATTTTGCTCACGAATAACAGAACGTTTTTAATAATTTGGCAGAACATGATGTTAACTAGTGTATCGGGTAGAAACCCAATGCAGATTATATTCAAACCGTACCATCAACAGTCTTATGGATAGACCAAGATTTGCCCAGCATATATATTAAGGTATGAAGCTTGATAAGTTAACTGAGCTTCGCTCAGCATAAGTTTTGATATATAAAGCTAGCTTCGCTCAGCACAAGTTTGAAGGTCTAAAGCTTAACGTCAAAAGTTGAATTTTATAAAAATCACAGTAAACTTTTTTTTGAAAAATTCGTAAGAAAGGAAAGTTTTCTACTTTTTCTGAAGCAACGGTTGTTCCTACCTTGCCCAAAAACAATACAGCTCTTCTATAGAGCAGCACAGATCAAATGTAAAAAACTAGAAGTCTCTACGATGTCTCGTTATTGAGATTTCTTGCTGATTAACTTGCTTGCTTGCTTACAGAAAGCGTATTTTCTCAGCAATGCCCCAATCAATTTGAAATCTGTTTTTTGCAAAAGATGTGAATTTTCAGGCACAAACTTTTCATCTTAGAACATGTTAAGCTATCTTGCTACAATTCATCGCAAAAACCAATAGATTCACACGTGAAAACGGTGTGAATATAAAAAATTTCTCATTTATCGCAAAACTTTCTCAGGGATATCAATACTTAACAAAAGCATTTGTAAAACCTTTTAAAAAGCTTTTCATCATCAAATCATTGTATGTGTTGGTAATCAATGATTCAGTGAACTTCAATGAATAATAAATCAAAAAAAATAGAATTAATTTTAAAGGAAATTAGGAAAGTGCTGACGCGTAAGATAATATAATTTATAAATTCACAGAGTTATAAAACTGGAAACCACTTTCTAGAAAAAAACTAAGGAAATGAGACGAATATTTTTTGACATTCAAACTTATAAAATAAAGCGGAAGGGAATGTTAATCAAATGAATATTTCCGTTTGAAAAGGATTTCCAAAAGAGGCAAATACCAATTGTCTTGATCCAATGGATAGCTAATGACTTAGTAAGTTTGAATTAATTTTAAAGAATCTTCAATATTTGATAATTATGACATGTCTTTAAGTTTTGTTATCTTTGCATGAAACCAAATCAAAAAAAGATAACAATTTTGTTTAAATTTATTAATAAAACAAAAGAAGAAAAGAACATGACACTATAAAGAACCTCAAATTTCAATGTAAATAAATTGATAAGAGAGTTGTCATGCATAAATTATTCTTTGTTTTATTCTTCTCGCAACTCACTCGTTCTCTTATTATCATATCTCAATATGTCGCATATGCCATCCAATATATTTGTTTCTAAATACATATCACAAAATCAAAAGAATCGCGATCAGTTGTCATGCGGAAAACTTTTTCTCCTCTTATTCTTGTGTTTTTTACAATCAAATATGTTCTGTGACAATCTTAACATACTTTTTCTCCGGGAAAATTGCATATTTGATTATATCAAGCCATTACACAATCGTATCATTCAGCATGAAATATGAAGAATGAAATCAAACCACATATGTATGTTTTCGTTTTATTCTATATTCCATCGACTTTATTGTCATAAGTTAGGCACATATTGGGGGAAAATAAACAATCAGAATAAATTCAAGTCAAGGTTTTGATTAAATCATTGACTAATATTTAACAAATTAATTTTTTTGTTGATTTGAAATTTGTGAAAAACAATATAAAAACTTTTTATTTCTTCAGGCCGATGAACTTATTTTTAATATTAACAGACTTATTCCGTTCGTGCTTTTTGGATAAAATTTTCAATTATAAACATACAAAAAAAAACTACATCTAAATAATTCTTCAATTCAATGAGTAATATTTTATTCTTGCAACATTAAAACAAAACTGTTTTTTCTGATTCACGTTTGATACTTATGTTTAAGATTAATTCTAGTTTTTTTGTTTCTTAAAAAGGAAAATAAAACAACAAGAAAACAAAAAGTTTAATCTTTGGACATCAAATAAAATTGTCAAAGAATGTCAATTCTTAACATCAATTATTTGTTCAGCACAGAGCTGCGAAACAGGCACCTGTGACAGGTGAGAACCCTACAATTCCTTGATAATTTATAAGGTTTTTCTAACAAAACCATACAAATTATCAAGGAATTGAAAGGTTCTCACCTGTCACAGGTGACCTGTTTCGCAACTCTGGTTCAGCATTACAAATTTAACGCTTAGTTTTGGACAAATTGTACCATTGGGAAATTTCACAATGAAATTGTTATTTTTTATGTTTCATCGAAAATCTGAAAACGCTTTGAAAGAAAAAATAAAAGAATTAGACGAAGCCATTTTTAATGACCTAAGCGCCCACGAAAGACTCATTAGTTCTTCACTAGCCCATTTTATATCAGCCAAATGCATTTTGCTATACTCCCAAGACAGACATAGAAAAATGTTTTCAGTTTTTCATCAATAGATACTGTCAATAATATGAAAAATTCTGACGCAAAGGTTAAAGCCATTCAATCGATATAACTTTTACGCATCAGCTGGAGGTCGAAGCACAAAAAATTTCCTTTCATGCTTGCTTTTGAATATTATTTTTTTACAATCGAATGCTTTGTTGGCTATCTTTAATTCAATTATTTCATTTTAGTCAACAAAATATTTAAAAAGAAGATATTTTTTGCTCTGATAACAATATTGTGTATTGTTATGTTTAGCTTCTCATGTGCAAATACAATAAATAAATTTTCTCGCTTTTATTTTTCTTCCATTCTGGTCCTCTAATAAAATGGATTTAAAGGAAAGTAAAAGCAGAAAAAAAAGTCTGAAAAAGGTTCGACATTTGTAACGCTGGCGAAAAAAGTAAACAGAAGTTGCAAAATTGTCAAAATACGCTCTTGACTTGTCGTATATAAAAGTGAGAATAGCACATTTGCGCTTTATTCTCAAATCTGTCAGCTTCTAAATTCTATTAATTCTTGTATTCTTCTCTTATGTGTACAATAATTTGCCATAACACAGTGGTATTTTTCAGATTCATGTGCCAAACTTTTTATTTTTATTTTGATAATAATCCCTAGGTTCTATGTCATACGCAAACAACTTTTTAAGAGTAATTTTTCATATTTTTTGCTTTTAACACCATTGTTCTTTTTTTCCTACTCTTTGGCATAACAATTGAAGCAATTGCTTAATACTTCTATTGAAATTTTTTTAAATTTAAAAATTAAAGAAGTTTTAAGATAAGTCTTACACACAATAAATTTGTTGGAATTTTTTATTTATTCCCAAAGCCTTTTTTGTTGCCTTTTCTCATTTTTCATTGCCATTTTATCAAGGACATCCATATGAAGCAGTTTTAAATGGAGCAGAATAAAATCAACAAAAAGAAAACAAAATTTATTGGAAAATATACAAAGTTTACATTGAAATTTTCAGTCAATTGAATTTAAGTATTTTATTATATAATTTGTTCCTTAATTCAGCTGATAAAACAGCTTGTGTAGAAAATACTTTTCATTTTTTTTGAAGCAAACAAAATTCTTCAGTATCTAAAACCCCACCTAAAAGAAGAATGTCATTTGTGCCACTTTACCGAGATAAGAAGCATAAATTCAAAAATGGCTTTTGGACATGGAACGAAAACGACTCAAAATTAAAATTCTATTCACATGGCATCAAGCCGCATGATAATGTGGAAGAAAAACATAATCTGTGGAAAGCACCAGAGGCACTTAAAGTCAAAATAAAAGCTGCTGATAAGAAGGAGAATAATGAAAATGCTTCCAACGTGGATGATGTGGGTTTGAGATTTGTCAACGACATTGACGAAACGGAAGAGCAAATATTTCTTGAATATTTCCAAAGACCAAAGAAGTTCTGTGATAGCAGTTCAATAACAATTCAGGATATCAAAAATTTAGCATTCTTCACACTCAAATCAAAGATTACAAATGATATTATTGAATTCTTTCACACAAAGACTTTCGATAAATTTCTTTATGCTGTTATCTTTTATATTGATCAGTTCCTTTTAATCTTTGAATATCTATTAATCCGACGTGATGAATTAAGTCAGGAAATAAAAATCCGTGACACATATTCAATAAAAATTGAGCAATTTTTATCAAAGCAATTGAGTGATCGACGATTATTGATAGCACGTGAATACTCAAAAGTAAAAAATTTGAATTTGTATTCCTTTTTGAAATTTATTTCTTTTGATGATATGGTGTATGTGATATATCATGCTTTTTCCTTTTATTAGATTTTATTGAACAATTGTGAAAAGAATGATATTGGAAGAAAAAAGCAGATTAAAACTGTGACAAAGATAAAATTGAAACCATCTGTGGAAAAGGAACAGATTTTCTTTGAATCAATGATTGATTTTACAATTCAATGCACTTTTATTGCGATGCATCGACGATGTTTCAAAACAATTTGTGAGTATCTACTATATTTTATATCTACAGATGCATAGCTGATTTGACTATACTTTTATTCAATTTTCTCTCTTTCAGCATGTGAACTTAATCGTTTGTTCCGGACTGAGTTTTTCAACATTGTGAAGCATTTAGATTTTTGTGAATTTGATCTGAGTTTTAGGGAAAAGCAAGTTAGTATGAAATTATTTTATCTTTTTTATCAAGTTTCATTTGGTTGAAAACCTAACAAGAGATATCTATTTTGTGAATTGAATAGATTCTATTCGGACGAAATTGGTTTGATGATTCTTTGAAAAATCATCGCCGCCAGTATTCTCCACTCATGGCAGAAAAATTGAGAATGTCACCAACAGTTGACAATGAGGAAGTTCTCAAAATTGGTGAAGAAAAATATTCTGGGTAATTGAATTATTGATTGTCATATCACTCATAAATATTGATTGCGTTTCTTTTTTAATTCCATTCTTTTTAGAACCAACAAGTACTTTTTTCATCTTGAACAAAGTTTCGTAACACCTGAGTGTCATTTGCACTTAATTGGAAAACGACGTGGCATTTTAGGACATCCAAAGTGTTTTTATTATACAACCTTAAATGTGAATGATTTTGCTGTGATGAAAATGAACTACTCTAATGAGTATGATCCATATGGATTCATTCGTCGAACTGTTATCAATTTAAATACATCCGATGATTTTATTAATGTAAAAAGGTAAAACATTCTGTTTTTCATAGTTTTTGTATGATCTTGATGGGTCATTAATTAAGAAGTATTTAATCGCAATGTTCATGATGAATTTCATGAAATGATTCTAGATTGTTGGTTTTTCAAGCTTTATTTTTTTGCAGTAGACAAAAGGATATGCCGACAAGATTAATTATTCAACGCGAACCATATGGCGGTATAAAGGATCAGATGAAAATTTGGAAAAGAAAAGAATCTATCATGAGTAAATTTTTAGAAGATTCTATTTCAGTGTGAATAAGATGCTTGACAAATAAGAAAACAAATAATGAAAAATGGTCGCCAAGAGTGAAAACAAGTAAGAAATTTTCTCATCCAAAATATGCATGTTACCAGATGTTCAACTCTTTCACGACCAAAAATTGAATTGATTTTCTTTTCTAAAATTGTTGTCATATGTCTCAAGATCTTCATATCTCCCTGTTTATTTGCTATTCAAAATTAAAAATAATCATTATCATAATGCTTCCATTCTCATGCTTATTACAAGATAATTCTTCACATCAGAATGTTACTACTGGCTTATAAAAATTTAGTCCAAAAGTAAAAGAAGTTGTATGTTGATTGATTTTCTTTTGAATGTTAAGCATCTGCTTACGATTTGTTTATCGAATTAAGAGAATATTCGGGGGCAATTTTCATTTTTTCTTTTTAAAATTAAATTTAAAACAAATTGATACTTCGTGCTCCTGTAGCACTATAGTCGTCTTGTTATAAACGTGAAATGAAAAAAATGCAATCGACACAAAAATAAGAGTAAACTAATGAGATTGTATGCCTTGTGCATGCCTGTGAGAAAAACATTAAACATAAAATTGACTAAATTTTAAAAATAGTTCAGGAATATTATCGATTAAACAGTTTACACTTTAGTGTTGCTCTACTATTGCTGTTCTTTTTCGGTTAATGACTTTTGTTCTTGAATGGATGTAGTTGTTATTATAAATGTATAAAGTTTGATTGAAATATCTTGAAATTATTCCGGAATGTTGTTTTACAAGCAAATAAAATGTCGTAAATATTAAAAGCATTTTATTAAAATGCGAAAATGAATGGAAGTAATTAGATTAGAGAAAATTGGAATTCATGCTTAAGAGCTATCGTACACACCCATTTGCTATTCTAAAATTTTTTGCATTATTTATTTTGGGTTTTCACTTCAATTCCTGTCTCACGATTCCCTATTGCCTTTCGATTACTCATTCTGCTGATTTCATTCAAATTATCATGAACTCAAACTTGTTCGCTTATTCTTACGTGCTAAAAGGAAATTACAAATTTCTTTCCTTTTATTATTTGCATAAAAAAGCCAAATTTTGCGTAGTAAATTCCTTGAGGCTATTCATTATGACATCGATTTTTCCCATGCGCTTCTATGTATGTGATTTACAAAGGAATTTTGGAAGTCTTTATAGATTGACCAGACACGTTCATTGATCATTGGATTTATAATAACTATTCTTCCTTTGTCTTAAGTTCAATAGATTTTTCATGAATTGATTGTTCCTTCAAATCAGTTTTATCGACTAGATACTTAAATTAATAAAGGTTGACATAATGGCAGATGATTTGTTTTTATCATTTCCATCGATTTGTAGATTATCATTTTGATCTAATTATTCGTGCATAAATGAAAGTCCATTGGAATAGAAAATTGTGTAAATGAATCAGAATAAAGTCTCGAGCACATGTGTTAATGAAGTGAACTATTTGCACAATCCAAAACATTAAACCTCTCTACTCAATTAAAATGTTTTTCAACCCCACAAAAAACCGCTGGCAATTTACGTGAGCATGTATGTTTATCTGCTTACTATCAACATGAATTGTATTTTTTCTTAATTAACTTTATTAAACGAATTTTGAAATTGTTCCCTAAAGTAGTTTGAAGTAAATATAATTCGTTTCAAATGCCTTTAGATATGACTTCCCTTTATTATTTGCAAAATCATGAAGTCGGAAATAAATGTCATAGATATAAAGGAATTTTATCAAATTGGAAGTAAACATATGCGCAATACAAATGCCACCATTCATTCAGTTATCTCTCTTTTATTTCTACATTTAAGCACCAGAAATACTTAATAGGATGTCAAGAAAACAAGTGTATAAGGAGGAAAACGAGATGAAAATAGGAAATGCAAGGAATAAATTATGAGACACTTGGGATTTTTTCAAATTTTACACTTCTCATAATGCAATTTAGATAAACCGATGATATAAAAAATAGGGTGTGAATAACAAATTTTATATTATGCTTCCAGCATTCTGTTTCGGAATTACCGAGCTGTAAGGATGGAAGAATTTATTGGCTGTTGCTGATCAATTGCACCTTTCTCAAGAAGAATAATTTCAACACATTGATTCTAACAATGTATGTAAAGTTTAATGATAGATTTATTGTATTTAAAACTGTACTGAGAATTTATTGTCAACATGACCAGAATGACAGTTTAAAAATATAGGCAAAGTAGCTTGGGATCATGAAACGGGAAAGGTTTTCATATGAGGATAATAAACACATAAAAAGGAAAACGTTATCAAATGCGATTTAAAAAAAATCTTTTAAATTCTTTCGAATTTCTGTTCCCTATAAGTGTGACGACTTTTTGTTGTTTCTTCCAAGTTTCTTCATCAAATTTAAGGTAATGCAAATTATTAATTTTTATCCAAACATGCTTTAAATTTTTTCAGAATAAAATGTCATCAAAACGATAAATTTAAGGTCCAGAAGAAAGAGGACATACAAACAAGCATTATAAAGGGAGACAACGTCAAATATTCATTTAAATGTATTTCAAGAAATAAGGAAAAAAATTTAAATAAAACTGATGTTAGTTAAACCTAGAAAAGACCAAATTAAAGCAATAATTTTTCATTAATAATCTCATGCTCAATATTCAAATTAAGGAACTGAAGAATCAAAGTAACAATAATGGCATATGCGTGTTTAATTGATATCACGTTGTTTATGTTATGAAAATCTATAGATTTTGATCATGCTGTTCGTTCTATCATTTACAATATAGAGCATGGATTAGGAACTTTTTCAACCCAATCGAAGTCGCTGTGAGCAAGCAAAAAGCTTATTTGCTTTAATTCAAAGAGTTTACTTAGTGTTGCACCAAAAAAAAGAAGAAGAAAAATAAATCGTGAAGAGTGAAAGAATTTATGTTTAAGCTATTCAATCAATATCAAAATAGGAAGAAAAATTGTTATTCATTCTTTACATTATATCGCATAGGACTTTTGTACAAACATGTAAGCAATCAATTGATTTCTGATTCCTTTCGTTCGCAGTGTGTCTTGAATTTATTCACTTTGTAAGTTACTATGAAAAAATATATTTCTGTACATCCTATAAACATTACTGTAGGAATGAGAAAAAGAAAAATATTCATAAAACTAGTGTAGTACCCCGTCAAGCATGACGGGCATTTTTTCTTCTTTTGAAACAGTAAAATTTATATTACGAAATTTATATTACATAAACGATTAATTTCAATTTTATTTTCAAACTTTAAACAGTTTAGATGTTAAAAATTTCTTTATAAACAACATTTTGAGTGAAAATTTTATCATTTTTAAGAAGCTTTCCTTGATATACACCTTGAGCAATGAATATTTTAATGTTATTTTAAGTTTATTTTGACTTTCCAAATTAGCACGTCGTTTTTCAATCAATTGCTCTTCCGTTAGTAATGAACTTTTCTGCCTCTTGCGATTTCTATCTAGTTCGCGCTTCCTATTTAGTTCCTCTTCATTAAAACTTCTCTTGTTTCCCATTCTAATTTAAAAAGATATTATGATTAAAATAATATTAATTTTTTTTAATAATGCAACTTACATAAATGGTTAATTTTATAAGCAATTCAAGAAACAAAGAACTGAATTGATCCGTTAAAAAAGAATTTTTGTCTAAAATTTTTGAAATTTAATATTTTGATGTAAATTAAAATGAATTAAATGATCTTACCTGCAAAAATAATGCCGAAACAAAAGATTGGTTATTGATTTAGTACACTATTAGCAATGGTCTAATTGTTTGTCTAAAACGTCATGAAATCAAAAAAAAAGAGTTAAACACTATTTACTGAAAAATTAGGGAGAAAGAAACCCCTTTCTTAAAGGGTTTAAATGTGAAAAATTCAAAAATACATACAAAATTGCATTAAGTTTAGTAATTTTTTCAAGGATTTTCCAAAATGGCGGGAAAATTCAATTATGTTAAGTATTTTTTTCATGGATTTTCCAAAATGGCGGGAAAATTAAGTACAGAAAAGGAGTTGCTTACGTGGATTATCGTCTTGTCAACTCAAGTGACGAAGAGTGAAAGAACTAAAAGTGAAAAAATTTTGCAGAAAATCCTGTGTCAATTATGTTAAGTATTTTTTTCATGGATTTTCCAAAATGGCGGCAAAATTCAATTATGTTAAGTATTTTTTTCATGGATTTTCCAAAATGGCGACAAAATTCAATTATGTTAAGTATTTTTTTCATGGATTTTCCAAAATGGCGGCAAAATTCAATTATGTTGAGTATTTTTTTCATGGATTTTCCAAAATGGCGGCAAAATTCAATTATGTTAAGTATTTTTTTCATGGATTTTCCAAAATGGCGACAAAATTCAATTATGTTAAGTATTTTTTTCATGGATTTTCCAAAATATTAAGATACAGTAACATCCAGTAGAAAAATGAGCATCCAGTACCAAAATACAGTCAAACTCAAAACAGTAAATAAGAATCTCAGTTAATGAAGAAAAAAAATCTCAGGTAGGAAAAAGAACATAAACTGTTTTGAAATTCTCAATAACAAAAAATTTTGGAAAAAATGGGTGGCTGAGAGCAAACGATTAAAAAAGTGGGCGTGGCTTAGAGCGGAATGACAGAAAGAAAGAAAGAAAGAAAAATGAAGGTTTTTATATTTATAATTAGATTGGGAATGTTAATGTGGAGGTATTTTGGCACTAAATTAGAAAGAAGGAAATCACATTCACATATTAATATTCCGATGTACTGTTCTCATGTAACTTAATATCAAACACGTAATAATGTTTTAATAACGAAAATTTTCCACTTCCGTCTCAAGTGTGATTACTCAATTTGTAATCTCTGTGTAAATGTCCGCTTTATTTACACACAACATTCATTTATTATATTCACACCGTATTTCTGTAAGCAAACAAGCAAGCTAATCAGCAAGACATCTCAATAACGAGATATCGTAGAGACATCTTTGCATTTGATCCTTGCTGCTTTATAAAAGAGCATTGTACTGTGTTTTGGCAAGGTAGGAATAGTCGTTGAGCGAAGCTCATCTGACTAGTCAAGCTTTATACTTTCAAACATGTGCTGAGCAACGCTTGGTTTATCCACAAGATTTTCGATAATACGGTGTGAATATATTCGTATTGGGTTT